ATCTCCTCATCTAGGTCATTAATAAAGATATTGAACAAGACTGGACACCAAACTGATCCCTGGGGGACACTACTGGTGACTGGCTGCCAACTGGATGCGACCCCATTCACTACAGCTCTCTGGGCTCAGCCAGCCAGCCAGTTTTTTCCCGGCAGAGAGTGCACCTGTCTATGCCATTTGCCACCAGCTTCTCTAGGAGAATGCTGTGAGACATGGTGTCAAAGGCCATACCAATGTCCAGATAGACAATGTCCACAGCTTTTCCCTCATTCACCAGGTGGGTCACCTGATCATAGAAGGAGATCAGGTTAGTCAAGCAGGACCTGCCTTTCCTGAACCCATGCTGGCTGGGCCTGATCCCATGACTGTCCTACACTTGCCATGTGAGCGCACTCAAGATGAGCCTCTCCATGATTTTCCCTGGTACTGAGGTCAGGCTGACAGGCCTGTATTTCTCAGGATCCTTCTTCTGGCCCTTCTTGTAGAGAGGCATCACATTGGCAAGCCTCCAGTTGTTTGGGACCTCCCCTGTTATCCAGAACTGTTGATGATAGAGAGAGGCTTGGCGATCTCCTCTGCCAGCTCCCTCAGTACTCCCAGGTGAATCCCATCTGGCCCCATAGACTTTTGAGTGTCTAGGTGCTGCAGCAAGTCTCTGATCACATCCTCCTGGATTACGAGGGGGTTGTTCTGCTTTCCATCCTTATATTCCAGCTCAGGAAGTCAAATACCCTGAAGGCTGCTCTGCCTATGGGGAAGACAGCTCAGGAGACTGAATGCCCTGGGGGTAGCTGGTCTGACTATTAAAGATGGAGGCGAAGAAGGCATTAAGTATCTCAGCCTTTTCTTCATCCCTAGTTGCCATGTTCCCCCCTCCATATCCAATAAGGGATGGAGATTCTCCCTGGATTTCTTTTTGCTGTTAATGTATTTGTAAAACCTTTTTTCATTGTCCTTTATGGTAGTGGCCAGATTGAGCTCCAGCTGGGCTTTTGCCTTTCTAATTTTCTCTCTGTATGTCTGTCACGACCCGAGTAGGGCAACCCAGGGAGATTCAGATCAGGCCCCCTTGCTTTCTAAATTCCTTCTCAGAGAGGAGCCT